CATGTAACTTGGGTCGGTGACAGTACTGCAGGGTGTGGCATCAAACTTAACCTGCTGTCCAAAATACCTAAACCACTGTGCTAGCTATTGGTCAGTTCTGCGCACATGTCGTAATGTGTTGAGAAACAAAGCAAGAAACCTAGGTCTAATACATGATAAACGATTTCTGGAACCTAATTTAACTTTTATTTTGTAGACAATTTTCTAAATGTATACTTTTTGGAAACACCCTGTGGATTGTTGCCAAGGAAGTTCAGTTGTAAATGTTGACGCTTATCCTGAAGGTGAAATCACAGAGTCTTTTCACTGGGAGACCTACATTAAGTGTATCTTTTTTGCATGTATTTTATTTCCATGCATGTATTTTTATTATCATGTATAAGAAAAATTACCCAAACTTCTGAGGTACGTGTTCATGCACTCTGTGCTTGAACCAAGCTTTAGCATTGCTCACAGAGTGCACTGAGAAGGAGCATTGCATCCCACAAATACTGTAGCAAAGACTGCACCCTGCTCTACCTTTCAAGACTTAAGTTCTGGAATCTAGACCACAGCCCCACCAAGTTCGCAGAAACCTCTGGGTGGGTGTTGGAACAGCTGGAAGGGACATCGTTAACCCTACAGCCTTCCTCTGGGGCCATCCAAAATCCCATCAACAGGTTTTGGAGGATTAAGGGAATGATCAAGATTAGAACCTGATCACTGACACCTTACTTAAGGGCTTGGATGCCACTTGAAAGATAAAGCACAGTAAATGTACATGTTTTCATTCATTTTCTGGTAATTGGAAAAGATTTATGTGTCAATCAAACATACACGATAGAGTGTGCATTGTTGTACATCATTGTACCTCAGGAGTAAGGGTACTGAAGCCAATCTCATTTATATTAAAAAAAATAATAAATGGAATACAATCTTCCGTAGTAATTTTACTGCATGACTAATTGTAAATACACAGATTGCAATTTTCCAATAACATGATTACAACACAACCAGTGTGTTGCAACTGGGTATAGCTTGGGAAAGCCCCACTTCAATTCTCAGATGGTCATGGTTAGTGATGTACATGTACATGTTACCGGTATGCACGGTACCCCGAGCTGCATGGTACGCATTGATATGACCTTTTGCCTTGTGCCTCATTGTTCACAAGATGAATAACAGATCCTGTGCACAATCTACTCAAATCCTTTATCTGGAAGTTGCTGAATGTTGAATTGGTATATATATACACCAAATTATGTATATTTGACCATGCACATATAATAGAATTGTGCTGAGTATATAAATACGTACATATTTATGTAGGAAGATTGAGGTGCATATGTAAGTTGTATTTTTTGTGTTTGCTTTGATACCACAGGTCCTCAGGGGATTCTATATTCAGACCCAGCATCAATATGGCAGGTAATTTACATTGTCCTAGCGGTACATGTACCCAACTCCTGAAACCTTCATCGTTAGAAGATTAAAAAAAAACGACATTATGAAATATGTTTCTAGAAACAAGGATGTTAGCTAAATGAGTGTGTTGTGGTGCTTGCGTGTGCCTTCAGCTCTCTCGGGCTGGATGAAATGTCGCGTGGCAATGTACATATGCATAGATGTTGATCAGTTTTTGATAGACAATGAAGGTACATGTATTACCACAAAAAATTTGCTGTTCCTGAAATGCCTGTGATACAGTGTTCAGTTTCACTATGAGGTATGCAAAGTAACTAGGTCATAGTCAAGTGTGCATTATTGTACTCTCTACCCAAGTCAGGCTGTGTATTGTTGCTTTTGTGTTTACGTACATGTACATGATATGTACGTGTATATGTGCATACCGTACCGTATGCTTTACACACATGTATGATGGATTTACATGTACCGCCATTACACATGTGTTTGAAATATATTGAGTTGTCTCTGCCCAGTTCAAATTATCCAACCTCAACAACACAATCTGAATGTACCGGTACACGTATACATTATCAGTGGTAAATGAACCATACACTCTGAATTTTATGAAACGAAAGCGAAAGACATGTTGATCCGAAACTGAGGGATTTTGTACTGCAGACACGTTTTTATCATGTGATTTCTGTTCCGTAATAGATGGTATATTTTAGTCCTTTATTCAAACGGGAAAATATTTCAGACGGAACCATACATGTACATGTAGTCTGTGTGCTACTGCCCTGGAAGGTGTAGGAATAGTTCTGTTGCTTGAACTGAGACTTGGAAAAACTGAGGAAAAACAGGAGCTGGAACGGGCCAAATCTGGGTGTGTGAGATTACATACATGTAAACAAACATTGGAGTTTGCCCCAAAAAAATCTCACACCAGCCAAAGGTATCATTATTCCTCATGCCCATCCGCACGAATGATAGACAAACATATGGCAGAGTAAAACTCTGCTGTAGTAAGAGAAATCTCTTGGCCCTCAGTACGCAAAGATCAGCACCTGTATACAAATTTGGCTTTTGAAAGCCAACTTCTTTCTTGATAGCAGGTGTATTATTTCCCAAACTGTGAATGCATTGCGTGAGTTTGTGTATTGATGGTCTGTTTTGTAAAACAAAACTAAAATGAAGAAGTTAGTGCTTGATTCCATACAACAAACGATCAGTTACTCCGTTTGTTGTATTTGTTATGAAATCTTGAATTGATCTGAGGTTACAGAGACAGTTAGTTTTTCCTGAAGAAGCTGTTTGCGGTTTAACTGTCGCACTACATGACTGTGTTACTGAAATATCTCCTTATTTGATGAAGATTATATAAAAAGAAAAATGAACTGGAGAGGTATTTTTTATCTCATTCATGATACGTGTAGGTTCCTTTCCGTCCACTCCCCATTCACTGTATAAAAGACCCTAGTTAGAGAGCAGTAACCAGTCTCATTGTTGGTTTCCCTTTCAAGCTGAACCTGCCCCTTAGTGCAGCATGTTCCTTATTGGAAGAGAGAAGAATGTCGCTCTTGAAATCTTGGAATCCACATGGCCTTAACTCAGAGCCGTGTATGGATATAGAGAGAGTTACGACATAAGTGTCATTTTGGAAACAAGATGGCTGGTGTATACACCAGTGTACATGGACACTTGGTACTCGATAGCCCCGTGCTGTACCGGTACTGTACACATAATGAACAGCCATTTTGTTTCCAAAATCTACAACTGTCGCTCTATAGAATACCAAAGTGACTTATAGCATGCACCCAATCTTGCGTGTGAAAGGCGTCAGCGCGTGAACCAATGCGTATGCATACTGCATTCGTTTGTACGGCATTTAACGGTTCTAAATGACGTCACCCTTCAGTACTCTATATGGCTGTCCCTTAACTCTCCTTATATTACCCTCTAGAGTTTGTGCACAGATCGTACGACCTCCAGTTTCATTTTAACTGGCATTTCACTGACAGGAAAACCAGAGAAGAGGAGGCTGAGGCCAGGCCTAGCGCCGATCCGAGTCGAGACCACACAGACAGACAATTCCAGGTGAGTGACCAACCAACAGATCCAGAGATGTTACACGTATTTTAAGCATGTTTGGTGGGGTACAAGCATAATGGTGTGAGGCACTATTGGAGACAACAAACAACAGACAATTTTTTTCTGCAGAAAATTCTGAAAGCTATACAAAACTAGAAGTATCTACCTTCCTTCAGACCTTTCTGAAAAACCTCATCCTTTTAAAATGTTGCCAGAGGTTTAAGTGAACATGGTGAAGAAGGACACCTGTAGATACATGTAATTGAGTTTTTGTGCGCAGTGGGAAAACATTTATAAAGTTTACATTCTCAAGCAATACATTTTAACGTACGCGTGATGTGTGCAAACTTGGTTGGCTATGTTTAGAGAGGTTGCAGCCTTATGTCATTGAAAGGTGTGACCTTCCACTGTGGTTCCTGATGTGAATGAGTCTCTGCACTGTATCTGCATGTAGGCCGCCGGGCGATTTGGACAACAAGGCTATCCTTAGCATCAGTGGCAAGGGCGACTTTGTGGTCAAAGCGGAAGACCTGAGGGACATTGCCGAGTTGGGGAAGGGTGCGTACGGCGTGGTCAGCAAAGTCATCCATGTACCCAGTAGCACAACGATGGCCGTGAAGGTACGGCACAGGCATTAGCAGTGTTGTCTCCTAACAACCTTGAATTCCCTCCTCCCAAATAGCTGTCTTCCCTTTCCATTGGAAGATCCACAGAACAAACCCACTGATAGTCGGCTCCAGTGTTGAATGTTAAAGAAAAAGAGTACATGTATCATCTATTCTACCCTCTTTCACAGTACATAGCCTGATAAATAAATAAAATTGTTTGCAGGGTGCAAATGATATAAAGTCTGGGATGTTTACAGGAGCGCTGTGTGTCCAGTTTAAGGCCTTCCCCCTCCAAAAAATAACAAAACAAAACAAAAAATTAGGCCTTTCCAAAACTGACCCCCAGAGCAGCGAGCGATCATTGTAAAGATTGTCAGCTCACTTCACATTGGCTCACCAGAGAATACGAGCCCAGGTCAACAAGCTGGAAGACAAACGGATCCTGATGGACATGGACGTAGCCATGAGGAGTTGGGGCTGCCCCTGGACGGTGGAGTTTTATGGAGCATTATTCCAGGAGGTGAGCTCTAAAACCTGACATAGCTGTGAGATGTAAGGGCTCTCTCTGTGACTTGAAGAGGATGCTTTGTTGCCTGGCAACCAAGGCATCTTGGGCATGACCACATACACGCAGGGTGGATCATTCCTTGTGGAGTGAAAGTTGTCAATTCTGGAACTGGTTCATGCTATTCTAGATCCCGTCTAACGTTTAAGCTTTCGTTGTACCATATCTACATAAGAATTGTTATATTGCAACTCTTTTCGGCAGGGAAAGACAGCGTGCTGTTACTTGCATTGCACAGTTCAAAAAGGGCCAGTTTGTTTCACACAAATCTGGATCTCGATCAGTGATCCTATCGCTGGTTGGCGCTAGCCATTAGGCCGGTTCTGGTGTCAGTGAACCAACATTGGATCACTGATCGCGAGCTGGATCCCCTTGAAACAAACAGACCCCAAGAGTGCATGCTGTTAACTTGGCCCATTGTCATACAGTTGGGTCATTCCATGAGGTTGGGGCACAATTTGTGACGGTGTCAGTTGTTACATGGGTTCCGTAAAAATGAACAGCTATTTCCCTTCATGTGGATTCCAAATTGCCATCGTTATACATCTTGCAAGGCTGAATACAGAGGTGTGTGTTATTTTTACAGAGTACATGACCTTCTCTGCAGGTCATGACAGGTGGTAAAAGTTGCAGATGTAACAAGGACACTGTCACCAATTGTGCTCCATCCTCATGGAATGACCCAGCAGCCAAGCAAATATTTTGCTCAATACGTGTTTAACCCTGAAAGAGCTGGGGTATTTTATACAAACACTGCTTGTCATTAAAAATGTGAAGTTTGAAGTCAATCAGACATACGGTTTTGTTGTTACGATCATAAGAAGGATTTCGCCCTCCCACAAGAACTTGACTGTGCCGGGCCTGATTTTTTTAAAATGTTGGCATGCATATACAAACACTCCTTGTTGCATATGCGAAGTTTGAACTCAATCAGACATACAGTTTTGTTGTTACACGCATTTGAAATTCATGACTTTATGCGTGCCAGCCCGTGTGCATTAAACACCACAGTGGAAAAAGTATACATTTTGGCTGACCCATCTCGTAAAAATGCAAGCTGCGGGAGAATGGTATGTTTGAGCTTTGCAGATATGGTGTCAAAATGACCGCAAAGAGTTACTCTAAAAACTCCTAAAGGGTCTAATTCTGAAAAGCTTTGCAACTCTCTGAAACTGATCCCTGCTCAGTAGATCCGTTGAAAAATTTCAAGCCATGTAGTATTGTTTCCTTGTTCCCAGGGGGATGTCCTGATATGCATGGAGGTGATGGACACCTGTTTGGGGAAGTTCCAGACCAAGATCAAAGCCATGGACACCTTCATACCAGAGAACATTCTCAGCAGAATAGCATTCTCGGTAAGTCACCTCACATCATTGTCCTGATGCACCATTGTTACTCATAATGTAGCAGGCCTAATTACTAGGGGTCATACTGAACTGAAATTGGCTCCAGAAAGCTACAACACCATGTACTTGTGTCCTGTGGAATTTTCCATCATGCCTGCAGTTCTTTTCAAGGTATAGTTCAAAGAGTTCTGATGAAAGACCATTAGTCGACAAGTGGTGAATGATTTACAAAGTGCCTGCAAACATCTTCAGTCAAGCTATGTTCTGTAATCATCACTTCACCTCATGCTCCTGGTTCCCCTCGGTACATTTTGATGTATGAGGCCATTGATGACCAGTGATGTGACCAGCCTCCTTTAGGCTGGTCCCAGAGAGTTGACTGTTCGTAGAATGTACAAACAGTGTTACAGTGTTATAGGAAGTAACTTGGACCGTCTGTAGCAGCAGGTACAAAAGATGTGTTGAAATAAGGAATACTTTTGGCCAGCCCGTGACGTTCCTTACTAAATACGTGTAGCCCACATGGATATAAGATAACAAAAATGTGTTGCAAACTCGTTCATATTGTGGCCTCTTATCTGTCATTACTAATTTGTAATGCAAACAGTGTCAATTGTTCTGTTCCCGCGTGTCCTCTGTCATACCGTCTTCTCGACAAGTCCTTGTAAAAGGCACGCACGGCTCTTGGCAACCAACGTAAATTCAGAAGCTTCAGTAGAGGAGGAAAATAACAACCCAACGATGACCTTGACCCAGCTACGAAAAAGAGTGTCAACCGCATAACTGCATTGTCATGCGAAACCCCTGGATATTGTACAACCCACATGCTCCAAAGGTTGCGAGGGAGTCACCATTCACATTCCCAGAATTGACTCAGTACCCGAGGGGCCAGAACCAAAAGAACATCCCCTCCCCCCCCACATTACTCAGTCATGACAAGTCACCCAGGAGGAAATAGTTGAATTTACCCCGTTGCATAAATGCACACCCTGCTGGGGAAATATCTAATAACCATGTGGCTCGTATGACTCGGGCTCAGAGCCGGCCGTGTCTGACGCTGTGGTTTCGTTATTAGTGGATTTCCTGTCTTCAACGCCAGAGGGAAGTCGATCAAACCCAGTGGTGGTTTTCCCCCTCCAGTTGCAGTTTCAACAAAGGAATGTATCCAAGGCAAACACAAGTAGTTTTTCATGGCAGCTGACACACATTTTATCACTCCTAGTTGTGGTTTGATTTAACAAACTGAGTTTTACATGTTTTGTACTTTGTTTTTCTTAAATAGTTAAAAAAGAGTCAAGTTCTTCATTTTGATGCATCTCTCTCAATTTGGTGTCCAAGTATAATGGCCATTTTATACATGTACATGTAGTTGAAAATCCTTTTTTGCATTTGACTAATTACCATTACTTAAAATTAAGTGAAAGACCTGTTACTGTTACCTAGACCTAACTTGGAATTTGTTCCTCATTCCAGTAAGTTGGATAACACGTTCATAACAGAATTTAATTCAACCCTTCCTATTGCACTTTGCTCCGTGGACTTTCCTAACCGATTACAAATACTCTGTGACAAAGAGTGGGACATTCTTTGCACTTAGAATTGGGACACAAAGGTCAAAGGTGAAGGTATTGATGTCAGGGTCCTTCAGTGCTGAACCCTTGTGTATCAAACACGTTGGGTAAATCTAGGTACAGAACAGTCATTTTTTGTGGGGGGTGTTGAAAGGATAAGTGAAACATGCAGGTATTATGTGTGTTCTTTCTTGCTTGAAAGTGTGCACAAGTCCATGCACTGTGGCCAAGATCTCATTGTAGGGTGGATTTCTATTTCTATCCAGAGAATGTACCCCAAGTTGTGGTGACTTCGGTATGCCCCTGTAATATGTCTGAACCCCTCACTTACATGTACCTTATTCAAAATGGTGTCTGGTCCCCAGAGTTCAGGAGGAGGTGTGTATGTATAAAAACCCAACAACAAAAGAGGACAGTCGGCCCTAACTGTACACCTGGGGCCAATTTCATAGAGCTGCTTAAGTACAAAATTTGCTTAAGCATGAAAAAAAAAACTCTATCCGATTGTCATGCTAACCAAAAGACATCTAAATACGATCCCAAAACAATATACATCACATAGAGTTTTGGCTGATTACCTGATTTATAAAGCAAGGTTTTCTCACGCTTGAGCAAATTTTGTGCTTCAGCAGCTCTGAAGGAAAGAGGAAACTGCACAAATGAAATGAGGGGACAGGTGAAGGAAGCTACGGATATAGTACCAGCACACTCGTATGGGCAGAGTGCATTGTGCATGTACAGTTTTGATGTGAGGCCCTCTTACACCAAAACTGTCGGCACATTTACATATAACGTACATAACGTATTGACACAAGTATAAAGAGTTGTTCTGGTAATCTGAATCTGATGTGCGGGTGCCGGTTCAGCCCCGGTGTGTTGCTCCAACTCCCGAGCTCTCTAAGTCTCACTTTCCCCCCCGTCACACCCGAACAATGGTGCTACAGTTGGGCCGGCCTTCGTGTAATATGTGCTTGTCTACCTGTACTGGCTGCCCTTGGGTGCAGAATGTAGCTTTTGTTTGAGCATCCAAAAAGGAAATGCCAGGTCAGCACACTTTGGATGATTTCTGTCAGCTGTGAGCTGCTAAAACCTGGAGGTGGAGAAATTTTCTGAGTTTTGTTTGGCCATCCCACGTGTAGCATATATGCAGGCGTGATATTGTTCCTGCTTTTTAATAGGATTTCAGGGTTTTTTCTCAATTTATTTTCCTAGTATTTCTTCAATTTTCATCATTATTCACCATTGTCATACTTTTTTTGGGGGGGGGGTTTGCTTTGTGTGCATTTTGTGCTTACATGTAAAAAATCAGGTATCTACATGTACCAGTTGATTGGCAACGTATGCATACACAGGTAGGCCTTCACTGCTTTAAGGAGACTATTTTTTATGTTAAGAATAGGACTGAGTCAATTTTAATAGTTTACTATTCAAATATTCGACCTTCAGTTTGATCGAATATCCGAATATTTGGTTGTACTGACTGGCAGATTGTTGATGATCAAACCATGTACATCTACAAAATCAGTTGCAATAATGCACACAATTGTACATCATAATTACTACAATAGCTTCTCATGTCCAGGAGTATCTCCAGCCACGATTTTGCAAGATTTAAAAGATGAACAAGACCTCTTGCCCTGTTGAAAATTTCTATTCCTTTTAAATTGTTTAATGATGAATTTACATTTTAAATCGTAAGATTTCTGATGCTTTTCATTTGAATCTTCTTGAAACAAGCCTCCAAAGTGCAATTTTTCTCATTTAAAACAAAAGAAAGTTTTCCCTTTTCATGAACTTCACATTTGAATATTCAAATTCGAAAAATACTATTCGATAATCGATCAAATCGATTCAGATATTCGGCACAGCCCCGGTTAAGAAAGCCAAGAATGAGTTGTGTAAAATTTGTCTTCATAACATGCCCACGACATCTGGGATTTAAACATGTGTGTAGTCTCCAAAATAGCAGGATATATGCGTGTGCATGAACATCAATTTAACATGCACTGGATCTCTGATACCTGCCTGAAATTAACGAAGCATTCGTAGCAGTGTTCGTAGGTGAGATATGATCATGTGATTTGGATATGAAAGACGAGTAGCAGTTGATGGATAGAGGAAGTTATTCTTGCAGTCTGTGTGGTAATCCCAGATTCAACCCTTGGCATATTTACTTTGAGTCATCAATTTAGCTGCTAGTCATGTGTTGATGTGTACAGAATACTGTTTGGATACTCCCTCAACGTGTGCCTCACATCAGAAGGGAAATTGAAACCAACAATACATATCATATGTAGGTGATATTCCCAAGTCCACATTTTAAATGAAGACAATGTACACCTGTACAAAAAATTCTCCAGTTGAGGGAGATCCCCCACCTCCATTACATTTATTTGGTCAAGATTTGGACAAAGTTCCACATTTATTTACATATACCTGAAGCCTACATCCTTAACTTGAGGGAGTTCCCTGAAAAATGAATTCCAGATTTTCATTCAAACAAAACAAAAAATGAAGCATTTTCTGGGTCAATGTCAATAAGTCCTCTACTTGCTTTTTCTGTCTCGATATGTTTTTCCCTCTCATGATCTTCAATTTCGAAAGAAACATCAGTGACAATTTTTGGCCTCTGCACGCAGTATACTGTAGCCAAAATAGACATACATACTGTTCACGGGCAGCCAATGTAAATATTAGCTTTGCTTGGTGTCAGGTTTTACATACCTCAATTTGCGCACTTGCCCTTTATTCTTGGAAAGAGGGTTGCACCGGTATTTTTATTCAGTACACTGTACGTCCAAGTAAAAGCACGGTATTTATTATGTAGAGTTTGGTTGGTTGCATTCAATTTTTTTAACAATCAATGAATTGTTATTCAGCTTTTGTACTGACGGCCAGCTTCAGTTCTTCCAGCCAGTGGTAGGCAAAAATATGACTGATGAAGAACGAACAGAGCCTACTATGAGCATATGCACTGTGTGAATCTAAAACTGAATGGAGAGAAAAAAAACACTAGAAATATCTCTCTCGGGAAAGAGATAAGTGCACATGGGTGCCGTTCACCGGTAGAGTGTATAGAGTCGTTGATGATTACATGTTAGTAGGCACGTGGCGTTGACTACGAGCTGACAGTGTGTCACAGTGTCTTATTACGCTGCTCCCGATGACCAACGCACTTTACCCGACTGAGTCATTGTTGACTTATTTCCACTGAGAGTGGAACTGCTATACTTACATGCACATGTACTTCAAGTTCACAAGTGGGAGGACTGCATACTTTTCATGTACATGTATCTGTGTTAGATGTACTATGCTGTAGGTCTACATTTGCAAAGGTTTAGGACCACCGGTACAAAATGCATTAACCTGAAGAAAAGCCCAAACTTAAACCAATCAATCATGGCAACTTAGGTTTATTTTCAATGTGTAACCGTAGTATTTTGGTTAAACAGCTATTTGACTACACTTCCATGATTTGAAATGTTAAGTCTGATATTTAATGTGGCCTCTTTTATTTCTGATTACTTAGACTGTTTTTTTTTTACCCATCCTGCCTTACAGACAAAATGTCATGCAAGACCTGCTTTTGTAAAGAATTTCATTCAATTGAGTATACATGTACATGTACTTGTATAACACTACACTGATGTTATGCACCACTGTAGAAACATGTTATGTAATCATTCAATGAGACAATGTAATGCAGGCCCAGTGACAGAAATACCAATAAAATTCCAGGTGGTCTTGAACTTTTCCAAATAACTGAAGTTAATTTGAAGTAAAATTGCTAAGGTAATAAAAGTTCTGCTTTCTAATACGTGGTATCCCAAAACAGGGTTGGTACATGTAGGTAGAAACACGTTTATGTCCACATTTTAATACCGACCAAGAGTGCAGCAAAACGTGAGCGTGGGAAACAGGAAGTAGAACTGTTTTATTTTGATCTGATCTACAGCTTTCCAATACACGTTTCACACTCCATCATTACAGAATGTATATCACAAAGTCTTACTTTTTTGTTTCTACGGCATTCTTTTCCACTGCAACATTTACGGCTGAGTAATTAATTCCTCATTTCTGTGAGTTGTGATTTTGCAAATACATCATTCAAAAAAAAAAGGGAAATAGAGGAAGGTAAACTTGTTACGAGGTAGTCTCAGCCACTTTATGTTCTGATATTATGCACATTCTAAGAAGAGCCAGAAAATGAAATGTTTAATACATTCACCTGTATTATGAGCACCTTGGGCCACGTGTTTTTTATTCGTTCCTTTTGAGAATTGTTTACTGTGCTAGACAAATATTGAATGGTTGGTACAAATGTAACGAGGCCTATGCAGCCAGAAAAAAAAACCTGCTCTATAAGTATTGTCTATGTCTGTTTTCGTGTCATTTTCCTTAAAGTGGCATTCCATCAGAGCTTGTCTGGCTGGCAGTACGCACTGGCCCACAAAATTACCCTGTCTGAACAGCTAATGAGGTTTTCACACTTGTCCTGTGGTTTTGATTAATTGAACTGAGTCTCACCATTATCCTTTTGCATTAATATGTCGTTCTACTTCAGTACATGTAGCATGGGAGGCAGGCAGCAGATCTCCCCACCCCTTTTTTTCAGGGATTTGCTCTTTTTTTCCTTTTGTTGTCAACTGCTCACTAAATTTATTTTGGAAAGAAACAAAACAAAAACAAATCAAAACAAAACACAGAAATCATCAGTGAATTGTACCCTGCTCGCACCATGTATTTTGGTTTCACCTCCATTTGAAGCATTGCCCCCTTTCTAAATGCTAGGCAGCCCCCCCTCCCAATCTAAATGCCCAATTCCCCGATGCACTTGTCGCGCATTCTGTCAGCTGACTTGGCTTACATGAACAACAGACGTAACAAATTTGCAGGTACATGTACGTGTAGTCTGCAGCAGTAGGTCACAGAAAATGCGTAAATATTTATTTATTTAACCTTCTTTAAAGAGGGTAGCCCATCCAGCTATAGCTGATCATTTGGGCCCTACAAAGTCATACAACTTTATCTTAAAAGAACATCAAAATTACAATTACGTCAAATTTACAGCAACGGAAAAAATATACAAGGATCACGACAATCATTAGGCAGTAGAAATTAAGGGGAAAAAATAATTAAACACGAAAAATTACAAATTATTAGGCCACACCAACAAGCAGTTGCATCCAAATTACATTTATCCACTGCATCACGTGTTTCAGACACCAGTTTTCTGATCTCTCTCTCTCTCTGCTCCAGATTGTCAATGCTCTGCATTATCTCCAGAAAGAGTTGAAGGTCATGCATCGAGACGTCAAACCTTCCAACGTGTTAGTCAATCGTAATGGCATGATCAAGATGTGTGACTTTGGTATCAGCGGCCGGCTGGTCGACTCCGTTGCCAAGACGATTGAGGCTGGCAGTAAACCGTACATGGCGGTCAGTATTCTCCCAAGATAAATTTTTGGGGGAGGGGTCTTTGAAATTTCCATAAGAAATACGCCCACTTTGACACAAGACACAGCAAAGGGGGGTTAGTCCCGTTAACGGTGTTTTCCCTGTGGTTTGTAAATTTTCTGCAAGAGTTGCAACACACAAAACATGTTGTACTTGTGCATAGACCTGCAGGCTATCGTTTAAATGAACAGTTCAGTACTCTATGTTCTGGCAAAGTTGTTATTCCTTGTTGAATCCTTACTCCCTTGTTTTTTGGAACAAAGTTTGCCTCTTGGTTTTGACATATATTTCAAAACAGAAATCACTGTAAGGTCCCAATCCAGTCACAGTCTCCACACTGATACATAAGAAGAACAGGTTTGGAAGGTGGAGTAATCAAGTCACGGTAAAAATGTAAAACCAACTGGGAGACGCTGTTAACGTGAAGGCGACTAACTGGCTTCCTTTGCTGTTTTGCCACATGCGGACGACAGTTTACTGCTGCTTACTGTTGTGTGCGGACACAGTGTCCCATTGCATTCCAATAGTTTATATAAAAAAAAAATCTTCACAACTTCCTCAGGTGGGACCCCAACCTATGACATCCTGCTTTCCGCTTCAGATTTCTCAAACAATTTCTGTGCAGTAATGCTCGCCAAGGTCAGCTGGACTGGTGCCAACCCAATGGTTTGGCTTGTGTTAACAGGCGAACAAAACCAATATCAGTGAGACGTCAGAGTTCCACCAGTTCACATGCATCCTGTTTGGATTCGTGAGGCTGTGGGTAGGCATTCACCGTGTTCAGGGAACAAGTTCTTTTGTTAGGGAAATTTGAACCGAGTTGTAGGGACATTTCTGAGTCCCCACAACGTTTTTGGTCCCCACAAAATAGGTGAAACGTCAAGTGTATACATGTCCCCACAACTACGGTGCGGGAGTACATGTGTTTGCCTATATTGGAAGTTACTCCGATAAGTTTGTTCACCTTCCTACACACGTCCCATGTGTCTTAACTCGAAAATGACTCGGACAAACAAGACAAATGGAACATTCGTAGAAAGCTATTCAGTTTCAAAAGAAGTAAAGTAAAAAATCTCATCCCTTGGGCATTTTGGCAGAAAAAGCTTCACAACTCCTTCAGAAACCCTTACAAAAAACAGAATTACAACTGTTGTATGTGAACACAATAGAAGTGATTAGTAGTACCGTACTGTTAAACTGTTGCTAGAGGGCGTAAATCAACAAAAGCGTGCACCGCATCTTTGAAGAAGGTTAACATAGTGCAACTCCATTACCTAGCGATCAGCCAAAGCTCTGAACTGTCTTACCTTGTCCATGCTTTTACAATCAAATCTTGTATCCCTCCTTGTTTCTATGTGAGATGCTTTGAGCATTCAAAAGTAGGCAAGTTCGTTCAAGGACCACTAGTTAACTAGTGGTTGGTTTGTGATGTACTTAGCACATGTGCGATGAAGTTGAAGTGTGAATGACCGTAGTCAACCATTGTCATGCCATTGGTCAAAGGTGGCCGCAGGAAGGGCAAAATAGCAGAACTAAGAGTGAAGATGGTCGTTTGTCTAACGATACTGTTTGTCTGGTATTTTTCTGATAACTGGTCCTCTCTATTAAAAGCGGCTTATGGCAACCAGTGACGTGACCAACCTCGATAGGCTTGTCGCGAATAGTTAACTAGACTAGTCCAACCATCGTCGACTAGCGTGTGTTCAATCAGCACTTGCTCAGTGGCTGCAGTCAATTCCATTGATTCCCATTGAGCTCACAAGTTTGGTAGCCAGTAAAAGTCAGTCCGATACGTAGTTACCGATGTCAGTCTATCAATCAGAAATGGACCTGTTTGGAGGGATAAAAGTTCATGGCATGCCATATTGTGAATCTTCCCTTTTTTGAAATTGAAGTTGTTGGATGTTGGTGTTTTTGATTTTGTAGCCGGAGAGAATAGATCCAGAAATCACTGGCAATGCAAAAGGGTATGACGTCAAGTCGGATGTCTGGAGTCTAGGAATAACCATGGTAAGTTCTTAAAAGGAACTAAGATATGATCCTCTACAGAAACATCAGGTTCCCCGACTGAACGAGTTGAACGTTAGCTTCAAGGTGCAGAATTCTAGTTAACCAGTCCAGGGAAGTTATGTTCGCTGGTTTTTTGGAGCGGTCAGTGATGAAGATGTTGAACAGACTTTATTAAGTCAAGGAGACCCCATGACCGTAGTATCAACACATTCCTGTGCATTTTACCAAGTTGCAACACCCTATCGGGTCAAAGATTTTCAACACTCGTACCTCCATGCTCTCTAGTATGGTGCCACTGCAATATAGGCTTCAAAGTCTTGTCACAGCGCTCTATTATGGTGCCACTGCAATATAGGCTTCAAAGTCTTGTCACTGAGTTAATCTGCTTCTGTACACTTTAAGTGAAGCATTGGAGGTCGTATATGCTCAGAGGACCTTTGTCAGCAGAAAGTTAGGTCACGTCATTTGTGTTTGGACTCAGTGGATTATGTTGCCCATTTAAATGCAAAATTAATTTTCTGTTGCTGCTGGGATGCATCCCATTTAAACCAAGAAAACAAGTCTTCCCAAGCCAGTTTGGCTGATCAGGCCAGAGTTTGTGCGGCCAATAACATTTCTATCGCCTCCCAAAGCCATACTCCCCTCCAACCTATCTGACGATGATCACAGCTGGTCACTGACACTTTTTCCCTTCACATACAGGGGGCAGTGCATGGATGGCGTCGTTCCATTACTGAGCTTTGTTGAGTAGGCCACACAACAGTACTTGCATTTCGCACACTGAAGCCCTTACATGACTAGCTTTAATGTCTTTAGACAGCTTTTTTTTTCTGTTGTAATCGTTGTCACAGTTTGAGCTAACAACAAACGAGTTCCCCTATGAAAAGTGGGGCACGCCCTTCGCCCAGCTAAAGCAGGTGGTAAAGGAGCCCTCGCCGAAGCTCCCTGAGGGGAAATTCTCACCGGAGTTGGAAGACTTTGTCGATCAGTGGTGAGTTCAAATCACAGATGGTTAAGATCACAGATATGAAGTTGAAGTAGCCTTGCAGTTGATTTTGTCAAGAGCCTTTCAGAATCCTCCCAAATCTGTAAAGCTACCATGACCCAGTGGAGCATTCATTTTTACTTGAATGATGAAAAAGAAGTCAAATGATTTCAAGCAGCCCGTAACAAAAAAAAGAGAGCCTAGTCTGTATTGCCGTGATGCACAGAAAACATTGCTTTACCGTGAAAGATAGCAGAAAATGTACAAAAAGCTCAGGTGATAATTCGTTCAAAGTCTGTACACCTTTGCTGCTTTGCCTTGTTGCAGAACTGTGCTACTCTTGGTATCCACACCTATTCATTGTCACTTTGTTCTTGTGATGCCTTTACTCTTGTCGTCCCTAAGTCCCAAAAGAAGGCTGGGGACAGGGCGTTCTCTATTCAGTCTGGAGTATTAAACCTCTGGGCTGGGAGGGGCTATTACATCATGAATCTCATACAATCTGACCAATCACAAGGCCGTTCTAGCAGCCTGCAGTTGATTTTGCATATTTACATGGTACAGGTTGCTTTTCTTAAATGTTGCAACATACGGAACAGAAACACCAACTGAAAAGTTCCCTTCACAAACATTTGATTGGCTGTGCAAAAGAAAAAAAACATCACAGACATCATCTATACACTCTGAAACATGTTTGTCCCGATGCGATTTGAAATTTATGCATGCCAACTTGAGATATGTAATGTTGAAGTTGGATGAAAAGTTCTGTTATCCGCTGCGAGTTGAAGTACACCTCCCAAGCAGCAAAAGAAAGACAGATGGTTGTAAGTTTTCCAAGGGGGTTCTTGCACGCGTTCTGCGTGTACGCAAAGACCATACAAGCCGGAATAAATTCATTACGCGTACTCAGCGTCTTCCGCATCAGATGTGCCATTGATCTCCATTATAAACGCACGCCTGTGCGGTGAGTACCCAAAAAAAATGCCCTCTTTTGTTCCGCTCGGAGCGGATTTGGGCACAGGGAAAGGTCACCATGCCCGTATGTGGAAGTACTCCAGACTGTCGTGGCTCGCCTTTGCTTGTGGAATAATTTATTCCATAACACAAGGAGCTAAGATGGTGTGTCACCATTCACATCTTCTCTCAAAAAAATTGTCTTTACCCCAGGTCAGTGCCGGTTGTCGTCTTTCTCTTCTCTTTGGAAGTGCCTTGTATCCTCTGTTAATGTGGCACTGCATAATGACAGTAATTATTTTATTATTTGGGTATGTTGTTGATGACGACGACACCGTACAAATAGAACAGATTTTGGAGTCTATGCGCATTTCCACGTCCATTGAGTTTCCGTTGTCTCTACAATGACAATTTCTGGTCATCTTTTTATCCAAACAGCCTAAAGAAGAATTGTTCAGAGAGACCAACATACACAAGACTACTGGTAAGTGTTCATTGTGAAATGTACTCAAGAATAACGTCAGCACAAGTTGAAGTATGCTATGGAACGTATTCATCGCCGTGAATTGAAAGCTGCTGTGAAATTAAGTAATCATTGTAAAATAATATTTGTTCTGGAGACGAGTTGTTACTCTACTTGGTACGTACGTTCTTAACTGTCACTTGAAACTGAAATATGCTTTGAAACTCAGTGTTGTAATTTGCAATCTGCCGTAGAATTTATCTGTAAATTTGACTATGCTTCAGAACTTGGTCATCATTTGGAATGCATTTGCTGGAACTAAATCATGCTTGGAAACTATGGCTAACAGTGTTGTATTCGAGTCCATCACAAGTCCCTGTAAGTCCGTCACAAGTCCATCATAAGTCATTCAGTCTTAAGCCAATTGACAAGCAATTCAAATGAGCTGTGACAAAAGTATTCTTTTGTCATTGTTCATCCCTTAACTTAATGTTTGGCCTTGTAAAGGGACTTGTGGCTGGCCTTGTAAAGGGACTTGGGGCTGGCCTTGTAAAGGGACTTGTGACTGGCCTTGTAAAGGGACTTGTGACTGGACTTGTAAAGGGACTTGTGACTGGACTTGTGATGGACTCGAATACCACACTGGTGGCTAAAAGGCTTATCGTTGAAATGGAAAAAGGGTCCAATGTTGCATTATATTCTCATTTTAACTACAATAACAAAAAAACGATCATTTTTTTTATCTGTACTTTCCTGTATCATTGTTTTCTGTGCCAAAATGCAGAGGCACTCTTTCATTACGAACCACGACGGGGTCAACGAGACAGACGTGGCAACATTTGTCACAGGAGTATTGGGTGCCACACCGACGAGTGACGCCACCGTCTCTTAAGGACGTCCGTCGGTCACAGCGTACACATCCTGAATATGCACAAGAAGTCGGAGAGTCCCGTCTGTCAGCAGTATTTATATAAACTTACTTCCAAACAAAGCAGGGGTTGCCAGAGTGTCGTTTTTTTGTGTTACGGTGTATCTCCGAAAAGTTCCAGCGGGAGATGCTTTGGAATGCTTGGCATCAGAGCATTCAGTCTGGGCTGTTTTCTCCCGCGTGTAATCAATGTTGCAGTTGAATGCATTTCCACAGATGTGAGTATAACAAAAATACTCCAGCGACAGTGTGATTACAAATAAGTAGAAATGTCACGGCATTGTTTGTCGGGACATCTTTTGAGCCTGCGCACTTCTTCAGTTAGGATCAGCCTACTACTTATCATTAAAATCTGATAGCGTCTCGTTTGTGGAGGAGCGGCTGCATCCGGCCATGAACATCCGTCTTCTCTCAATGAAGTCGCCCCTTTATTTTTTTTTTTCCCCCCACTCTTGGAAGTTTCAATATGCTGCAGGAACCGCTGGAGGTTATGTACAAGAGTTCCATTAACTTTTATGTCACTAATGAGTTGCTTTGTTTTACCAGCTGAAAGGTTGTTTGCTACGTGTCACGATATGTAGTCTTCTATACGTTCTAGTGTTTAGCCTGTATGTGTATGCCCCAGTCAGGGTGCTATTTTTCAACATGGGTATGTTTTACCGCCAGGTGAATGCTTCAGGTTTGTCACAACTTCAGTCTCCAAATTTGTGGAGGTTGAAATCAAGATGAAGTCATCTTGCATTTCTCAGACTAACGTAGCTTTCGAGTGTATTATAAATATATCAGTACCTTCTACTTCTGAGACATTTCCAGTGATGTAGACTTTTCCTGTTTTTCCCGCCAGAGTCGCCAAGCATTAGAAAACTGTTCACTGTGTATAAATTTAGTTGTACAAAAACAGAAACAAAGGAATGAGCTAGTATTTTCGTACAGACGAACAAAAGAGGCACTACTGAAGCAAAAGCACGTATTTATTTAGTTTTAAATGTAAATTTCAAATAGCTCTTAGTAGTAGTATAGGAAAACGTCTAACATCCCAAGGTTTTTTTGTCCAAGAGAGGTTTTTTTTCCCTCTATGGTAAAAGAACTTTGTAGAAATTGCACTTAGCAAAACGGATTGACTGTAAACCATTTCTGACACATTTTTTTTGATGGCAGTGAATTTTTTATGGTAGAATGTCCAAAACCAAATACATAGCCACAAGGCAGTCGGCACACGAACACGACCCCAAATTGTCTTTCAAGGTTTCCAGATGCCAGTTTTTCCTGGTACATTTACCCAAGTGGCTTAGTTGAAATACTGGTGCTCAAAATCATAAGCACCAGCCTAATTTCAAGTATAAATCCCATGTTTACCCAACCCCCACCCCCCCCAAAAAACGGACTAATGTGGCGAGTTCCAGATGATTTTGTGACTTATAAATCATTTACCAGTATAAAAATTGTTGTTACAGTGCACATTTCAGCCCAAGATCCCTGTGCACATCCTTTCATTTTTTATTTTAGGTAACCTACAATCGTGTGAACAAACTGTATTTAACTGGGCCATTTTTAAGCCTATTTATTTTACATCAGGAGCAGCTTTTAGAATTGCCACAAGAATCGTCTTTGCCCGCATTATCATTGGTTTCACAGCTGAGTGATTGCGAGCCTGTTCTGGCTTGGTTTAGGAGCAACTTCATCAAGTGGTACAGAAAATTTTGCAGCGGAGCCTCAGTATACCTCTTCCAGTATTGTTTAATAGAAAGACAGAAATATTTTCAGTAAATATCAAAGCCGACTTTCTCATGACCATTCACGTGATTTGCCAAAAACAGAAAGGCAATTTAAAATGTTTGCTTATTTAAGGGCAAGATGGAGCTGCTTTGCTTTTGTAAAGTGTAGGTCCATCCACAACATTAAAATCTTCCTCACTTTAACAAAATGCATTGAAGATCTGCTTTTATTGCATGTTTGGAGTACTCTCAACTTCACACAAATATCAAGTACAGCAAGTTCGTTGTTAATTTACGCACTTAGTTATGTGTAAAATGACAGACTGTTTGTATTGCAGGTGGTTATTATGTCACATACATAAATACAACTAGCTTAGATTTGGCCTGAGTCAATCTTATTTTTTATTGGTAACCGGGAATTACAGTATGTATACAAAGCGACATCTTACCAAGTTGTAAAGTGAAGTTTATTTTGTCCACGGTGTGTAAACCATGAACCTTAACAATCCCCAACCAGCCAAATCCCACCAGGGTTTGTTGGAATCTCTTAGGTTGAGTACCACACTGGTGTACTGGCTGTGTTTTATGTGGGATTAGGTATACCACAAACAAGAGTCCAACTGTTTACGTGCACTGTTTACTTTCTTATGGTGTTGAGATTTGCAAGGGTCTGAGGGTTGTCAGTAAATCACCCTAGGGAGGTGGGGTTACTACCATTAAGGTGATTTGTTAATGCTTAAAGAGCAAAAATCACAATCATCCACAATCCTGACGGCTTGTCAACGTGGTTTTAAATAATTTTTACTCTTTCAGAGTGAGCAAATGTTTGGGAGAGGACGTCTATAAAATTGTACAAAGATTTTTCTATACAGTGATGAAATAAAAGAATTAATTGAAGAGAAATCATTCGAGTGATGTGCAGTTGCTTGCGTAGTGTTGTGCTTTATTATTATTTATTCAGATGAAATCAACACTGACAAAACCTTCGCATTTAGAGGCCGATTTCATCTGGGATAATCCTCAAAAGCCACTTGCATGTATACAGGATATTTCCATAAGGGTCCCAAAATTGAAGTGGCTAATGCGTTGTTTTATTGGATATTGTATGCGATCCAGATTGGGTCATTTTTTTACAAGCAATCCTTTCACACTTCTGATTTTTATTTCTCTCCTTCGCTCCTGATCACCACATGGTCACAAAATTTGTTGACAGTTGTAGAGACGTCTCCCGTCTTAATGGTAAATGCAACTGCGTCTGCATGTTTGGGAAATATTGACTTCTATTTTTACACCAAAAGCCAAAATCTAGTTACACAAACCAGCTGCAGTGAACTCACAGCTCAGACATCTCTTTGTGAACAGTGGCGTTCAGGAAAGTTGGCGGTAATGTTTAATCTATGTATTTAAATTAAGTCTTGACGGAATAACGACTGGCCGCGCTTCCCTCAAGTTGGTATCGGCGAATGTCAACAATCAGGTTGAACTTCCTTTTCCACACTAACGTAGCCAGCCCTCATTTGCGCCCCCTCTCTTTAAAAAAATGTTTATTCCTTATTTTTATTAATCTCATCCTTTCGATATGTTTTCCTGCATGGCCCTCGATGCTCCCATAATTTGCATTTCAGTCATCATTGACCCAAAGTAAGGCCTTGTCCGAATCACCGGGCTACGGCCGAAATTTATACACGACTTAATGGGGACTAACTGCCCCCACTGCCATAGACTCTTGCGAAATTTCCGGCCGTAGCCAAGTGATTCGGACACGGCCTCAGTTGCACAGCCAGCCGACGAGTAGAATTGGTTGTATATCGCCCTCTGTTGAAATGTCGCAACGTACACGTTGAAAGAGAGACCAATAAGTTGGGACGTGTGGCAGCTAATGAGAGGGGCGGATCTCTTGGTAGGCGTACGATTTTTGCGTCCGGTCAATATGGGGAAGATTACAGGAAAATAGGCTACAAGCCATTTTCGTCAGATATGTTTGCCCGATAAATGGAGAGCACAGTAGGGATTTTGATTTCCTTCAAAAAAAATGGATACCGAAATTAAAGGAAAAGAAGGACCACCTTTCTTCTCGATGGTTGCGCCATTGCGTGTCCAGATGGGAACTTAGAAGTGGAAGGCGAGGAAAGAACCACGACGCCAACCTTGGGCGTGTTTTGCGACCCCTAACCAGGAGTATATTTGAGACGTCAAAAAATGACCGGGAAAATGTTAATTGCGGTCCACAAAAACGAAGAACCAGAAACGGTTGTGTCACCTGTCAAAGGCAAACGCAACAAAGCAGCAGACGACACTGTTGCTGGGCATCATTTCACTCTGTATTCGGCATGTTTCTCAGTGCTAATCTCTAATTCCACGTACATTCTAGAAAAATTAACCTCTTACATTCGCTGCATGTCACAATAAATTTGGAAATATATACTCCCTCATTTGAGGAGCGACAAAACGTATCTGCTTATTTTCCGCCATTTCGAACCAGCGCTGACCCAACTCCAACCTTCGGTCCTTGATTTGGTCGAAACAATGATTTCACAGAGGCATAACCGAAGTCACGAAAACGCTTACCAGAGCTGAAATAACAAGTTCATGGTTCGGTTCACCAAAACCCGCTTCAGACTCTGTTAATTGTTTCCCTGTCTTTTTTCCGTCTCTCGTCTTCATGTAACCCTAGCCGGACCTCAGACTGCCCTAGTTGCCCCTATATGGCAATTACCAGTAAACACCTGCTTACGTTTCTCATGTGATAATACATGTATTAGTTTTTCTAACTTTCCACCGACCAAATGTCTCAACTTTTCACAGCCTAGTTGGCAAACTGTCAGGGAGACACTTGCACTCAAAACTTCCCACTGAAACGGTCAGCAGCCATGACGAAAACTAACTTTCTATTCAGCATATTTCAGTCAGGAAACATTGGCCCCACTTTCCACCGATTCGGAGCCAGCAAACAAGACATGTTTTTTTTTCTCAAAACTTCTCCGGAGCCAGTCTAGCCACTCAGCCACTCAGCTTCTGACTTTACCAGCCTTTTTTATTTTGATGCATTTACTAAAGCCCAGTCTACAGATGAAAATACTTCTCTCCGAATGAACCAAACCAACTATTTTTCTCTAGACAAATTTGTGGATTTTTTCCTCCACGAAGTTGTTGATAACTTTTCTCTCCTACATCTCAATGTTAGAAGCTTATGTAAAGATATCGATGACTTAAAAACTTGTTTGAATTTATTAAATCGGAAATTATGCATCATTGGATTAACTGAAACTTGGCTCATTGCCAACTCTAGCCAAGCATTTAATCTGAATATATCTGGATACACCTTGGAAATATACGGAAGGAAAAATGGGAGGAGGAATTACCTTGTATTTGTCGTCAGATCTCCAGTATATTACGAGACGTAAATTAGATGACATTGGCAATGGTTCAATGGAATGTATGTTTGTTGAAATTGATACCCCTTAACAGAGCAAAAATGTTCTTGTTGGTATGATTTATAAATCTCCTTATGGTAGTTTTAATCAATTCATTATAAGTTATCTAAGCATTCTTGAGCTAATTGCGAAAGAAAACAAACCTTCCTTGCTCTGTGGTGATTTCAACCTTAATCTTCTGAATGTTAACAATAATAACAATTTCTAGACATTATCTACTCGTCTCATTTTGCCCCACTTATGAATAAACCAACAAAGGTCACTCATACATCGGCAACCCTTATAGGTATTTTTGTCTAATACCCTACAACTTTCAGATGCTAGTATATTGGTATCTTATATCTCGGATCATTTTCCGATATTCACACCTTCCCCATTGGCTGTTAATCCACCAATCAAAGGGCACCGTGTACTCGGAAATATACTCGAGAAAAGATAATTAATATCAATAGTGATCTTACTTCTATTAACTGGACAGAAGCCATCCCTGCTTCCGATTTATATACAGCTTTTGGTAATTTTATGGATGTGTTAAAGTTATCTATTGACAAGCACGTTCCTGTCTCAAGAAAGAGATCCTCAAATCTCCAGGGATCACTATCAACCTATGCAAATTAATTCACCATAAGAGCAAGCTCTACCATAGGTATGTATCACACCGCAAAGATAGTAACCGAACTAAATAAAAATGTGCGATGCAAAAACATTCTGACTAATGTCCTAAAGAGAGGCTAGACGAAATTATTTTGCTGAGCAATTCATGCAACATAAAATGAAATCCGGACAACCTGGAAACTAATTAACAATGTACATGTAATTGGTAATAATACACAACATTCTATAAATAGAATCAACATTGATGGCAACATCTTGGGTGAGCCCCGCTGTACAGTATAGCTAGTCAGTTTTATCATTATTTCACTGCAGTTGGAAATACTCTTAACGATAAAATCCCACCAACAACTTCTAACTTTTCTGATTATTTATCAAATCCAAATTTAAACTTTATTTTTCTTGCCCCGGTGCCTGAAGAAGAAGTCATATAGACGTTGTTTATAAGTTACCGAAGAAGAAAAGTTTTGGTCACGATGTGATTACCAGTAATACAATTTGTTCTATTTCCAGGCATTTAACTTAAAAAAAAATAACATATCGATAACAACAGGAAAATTTCCTGAAAAAGGAAGATAGCCAAAGTTACTCCTGTTTTCAAGATTGGTAATTCTGAACATGTTAGTAACTACAGACCAATCTTGATTTTAGCCACCTTTTCAAAAATTTCTAGAATGTCTTGTTTACAGTCGCGTCGTTAAATTCTTAAATAAAAGCTGATTGCCAAAACGGATTTAGAGAAAATTATCCCATATCTCTTGCGATCATTAAATTAATTGACAGAATCACAACTGCTCTTGACCCTTCTAAAAATGCTCTTGGGATTTTCTTAGTCCTTTCCAAGGCATTCAACACAATCATCTACGATATTCTCTTATCCAAACTTGCTTGTTACGGAATCAGAGGTGTTCCTCTGGAGTGGTTTAAAAGCTGCTTGTCTAATCGCCAACAATTTGTATTTCTTGATGGATATCAATCCTCTCTTAGCAAAATATCTTATGGTGTTCCTCAAGGATCAATACTTGGCCCTCTCCTGTTTTCTATCTTCGTAAATGATTTTAGTAATTTTTCGGATTTGTTCTCATTTATTGTGCTTCTTGATGATAGTGACCTTTTTCTTAGTCACAATGATATCAACAATCTCACCGATTTGGTAAACCAAGAATTACTCAAAACCTCTAAACGGTTTAAAGTGAATAAGTTATCCCTTAACATTAAGAAAACTACATGTTTATTACTTAGTAACAAAACAGGGTTACACCCACCAAACATCCATATTGATATTTTACTTGTACTTCATTCTGATTGTGTAAAATTCTTCGGTTTGTAAGAACCTAAACTATTTTGGAACCATCACATTAATCACACTTGTACCACTGTTTCCAGAAACGTCGGTGTTTTATATAAACTCAAAGCCATTTCCCACAAGAAATCCTGTTTATGCTTTATAATACTTTGATATTACTGTATTTTAACTTTTGGACCTTGGCGTTGGGAAATCGTGCTACTAATCACATCCAAAGAATGAATTAAAAAACTTTTTTACCCGGCAGTGTGAAGAATTTCATAGCTCCTTTGCACGAATTATGACATTCCATAAGACAATCCAACATTAGGCCCCTAAGGCCCGAAGTTCTGGATTCCTTACCCGCCGTCTTCCTGTGTTTAAATTTAAGCTGAAGACCTTCCTTCTATCCAACTATTCAAGCTCTGAGTAATTACTCTAATGGGTTACCACTGCAGAACCCTTAATTCCTGTAATCCTGGATATTGGTATTTGAATGTCATTTTGTATGTTATTTTTATTTGTCGTTGTTATAACTTAGCTAATTTTACGTCTTTAGTTCAAGGGGATGACAAGCCTTGCTTCTTGGGGATCTCTTTCCACATCCTATCTCTCTGTATTTGTTTATCTTACCGGTTCCGTTTCAGTCATATGGGACATTATTGATGTAAAGATGATATCAATATTCGTGATTATACTGACATCCTTGTTATCTGATGTGGAAAAAATAATGAATTTATACTGCTGGCAGCCATGATGTTACTCGGTTAGCCAAGCTTTTCATACATCTCTGTTTCATTCAGCTGTAACCAATCGGCTATCTATCATCACCAGTAATTTTACCGGGCCGGGCCGCATGCATGGTCTACGGTGTGGATTTGCGCCCTCTTGTTTAAATTACGCGTTTTGAGCTCGCGCATGCGCTGTACGTGCCAGTATGCTGTGCAGCAATCTAGCTAGCTCCGGCTCCCAAATAAGTGGTCAGTGCAAGTGATGGTTGGCGTGAAGTACTGCGTGATGGATAGAAAATACGTGAACATTGGAAATTTATGTAGGTCGTGTTGAGTGTGGCTTTTAAAATGACAACTTAATAAAGATCCATGGATTACAAGAGAGAGTTCCACTTGTGAGCAATCATGTGGCACTTGGTTAACAACAAATACTCCGACGAATTTGTGCCATCTTGGCTGACGGAATTTTTTCACAGTTGGCCACACGTCTCGTACCGGGGCTTCGAAAAGTACAGTTCTACGTTTAACCCCGAAGATCCTAAATACATCCAGGTAACTTCAATTTTGCTTTGTTTTAAGAGGAGCAGGAATGTTTCTAGGTTAAAAAGTTGTAATGTCGAATATGTTGTTTAAAAACCGAAGGAATTTGAATTGAAATCGGGAAGTATTCTACCGTCTAAATATGGTCAAACCGTTCGTTGATGAATCATAGTGAAATCTGTATTGATTACTCGCCCACGGCCGTGCTAATGCACTGTTAGTATTGTTCATTGTGATTACAGTACACTTTTCAGCTGCGCTTGAATGGGCGGGGCCTCTTTCGCTTTTCAATTGCAGTTTTTTTGGTTATTTCTTTGTAAGTGCTAGGCATAAAGAAGAATATGATGAATTTTTTTTTTAACTTAGTTCTACGTCAGTAGTTGAAAGAAGTAAAGTAAAGTAAATCATTCATGTAAAATGCATAGTTGGTGGAGCTGCACGGCCTGCAGGTATAGTGCTTAGTGGGTAGTGTAGATCATTATGTGATTGAATTCTTTTTCTAAAATTCTCTGAAGCACTAACTTTTCAAGAGATTTTTTTTATGGCTTTCCCAGCACGGGGCCACTGTACAAATGTAAACAGAATTTTAGTGTGGTGACTTCAGCATTATGCATACAGTGTACTGAGCAGAACTCACAAATTTCCACACCGATGTGAAGTTGGTTCCTCTTTCCTCATTCAACTGGCGACATTCAGTGCTGAACAAGTAACACTGACATTCAGGGTGCCACACCCCTAGAAATGACGGAGCCTAAACGGGACAAAAAATCCCAAACTGCACCACCTTGCACATCCGTTCACATGTACCTTATTTACATTGTACATGTACATGCCATTTCACAATGATGTATACACACACAACTCTCTCCCACAGAGGCAACCTGGGGCATAGGGTTTTTTGGGATCAAACAAGCCCAGAAATGTAGGCGAAATCTTTTTACGGCATTATAATTATTTGGTTGAAAACGGTCATTTATATCTGCTGTTTTCATCCAAACTATTTCAGTCAATCGAAATAATAATTAATACATGTATGCATCAAAAAGCCCTAAACTTATTTTCAAAGTGTTTCTGTACACTTTGGTGACCCCCGTTACCTCCATTTCAACCAGGGCAATGCAGTTTTCCAGGGTCAAAACGGCTTTGACTAAAGTCTTGTCTGTGGAGTTCTTCGCTTGCAAACCAGAGTAGGAAAGTGAATGCTTCACACCACACTTTCCTTAAATTAAAATGAAATACCTATGCCCCGCCTAGAGATTACATCGAATCTGATGTCTTTGTTCGTCTCAATCAGCGACGACTCCTGGCAACCCGGGACATGGGTTTTGGGGGGGGTCAAACAAGCCCTGAAATGTTGTTGGCACAGTTTGTTTTTTTGTTTCTTTTGCATTCCATCGTTTCTAGGTACATGCATCCGGAGTGGTCGCCGAATGTCAAACAGTTACTTACTCAACGTTGAACTTCAAACAGTTACTTGTTCAACCTTGAATGTCAAACGTCAAACAAGGAATAATGAACTAACTTCACACCACCAATTTCCATGTGCTTTTAGAATTCTTTGAAGTCGTTGCATATATTTTTAAAAATATGTATCGTTGACTTGAATGTGAAAGATGGTTGTTATGCAGCATTGGCCATAAAAAATTAGAACAAAATTTCCGATTTTACAAATAAGTCTAACACATGTGACAGTAATGTTACATGTAGTTTGGGGTTGCAAGATGTGATGTTTAGGAACTAGGAACTTGATAGAAATCTGTGTTCTGGATGACTGAGGAATAATCATTGATAACCGGTCCCACTCCCTCTTGCATTCAGTGTTATGATGGTTCTCTATGCTGTGGCACTGCATAATTGGTCCAACATTGCGAGTGTCTGTTCAGAGGGCAATCTTTTCCTATTGTTTTGCAGACGCTCATCTTCTGGGGTGCAATCCCAGTGTTGTGGCTACTGGCCAGCCTGTTGTTTGTCATCCTCTACGGAACATGCCACTGCTGTAAGAATAGGAAACGACGGGCTCATCCTGCGCCCAACAGACAGAAGAAGACACAATGTTTGAAGTGGATGATAATTACGCTGGCGTTACTCAGCGCGTGAGTATGCTGCTGCCTTCAACCCGACAATTCCTGTCCCTTAAGTTAGCCCCAAATCTAACTCCCTAAAATCTGCTTCATCGAGCCCAGGCAGGAATCGAATTATCTGTGGCCTTGGGTGTCCCAGTCTTGTTTTAAAAGAGCAAGGAATTTTCCATTGGATTCCCATCTTGAATGAGTCAGAAGGATTCCAATTATACACGCTGTACAGTGTGCGCGCTAGTGTTGGTGGCGTTGCTTTCCTCACCATGCAATGTGTATATTGCTTCTTGGAATGGAGCCAGTATTAGGTGTTTTGTCTTTTCCCCCATATGTCAGAAAAGCTCTTTCGCATGATCGAATTTTCCATAAGTACGGTGGAAATTTCCGTGTATCGATTTTAGTGAATTTACAAAGATTCTCTAAGTAAGGCAGGATGGAATTGCCTTACCTCTATCCTCGTCAGTGTTTTGCCTGTTTCATAGAGTGGATGATTTCCCATTCTACCGTACCTGTACTTCAGTTTTTCCAAATCATCGATGGATTTTTCCTTTATAAACCTGATAAATGCATTAACTCGTCCCCAGAGGGCAGAAGGTTTGTATCGCTGCGATACGCTCGACTAAACCTTTTGCACATTTGTTGTAACTAAATTGAAGAAACAAAAACAGCCTCTGAGACACCGTGAAGACACCAGCAACGCAAAACCTCCATTGAAAACAAAATTGTAGTCGGTAGCAAGTAATTTGAATCTACTTGCCTAAAGTAAATAGGATGGTGCATCTACAGTTGATTACACTTACTGATATGTGAGGGTTTTTGAACATTGTTTATTGAGTGAAACTGAAGAAATTGGAATTTTTCCCTAGAGATGCATTGAGAGGCCCCTCTAGCCCAGAACACATTTTCAACTCAAGTGCCATGGGCTGCAAATAAATCTTGACATCAAAATCACTTTGCTGAACACTGCATTTGCGTGCAGCGCTAATCAACCTAAAATGCAGTATTCTTATCATGTAGCTAACTCGCCACTTTAAGTAATTGCAGGCATTTTCAGGTTTTATTGTCACATAAAAATTTGCTCACAGTACACTTTAACCTTACATACATGTAAGAATGTAGTAGATAATGATCCAGCCAGTTACATGCACATGTACATGTAGAGTCTGTCACCATTATATGCAGTTGTGAAATTTGTTGTACATGTCCATGTGTGTATACATGTGCAAATTGTTGCATTCTGCAAGTAACGATGTGTGTACAATGTACATGTCCATGTACATGTACATGTGCCAGTACCTTATTCGTAGTTGAATCTGTGATCAATATCTTGACCAGCTGTACGTTTATTTTTAGAAGTTTCCTTAGCCAATCTGTCACTAAATTTATGTTTTCTTGGCCATGTTGGCCACCCTTGGACTTTAAAAGGACCTCAAACCACTTTTCCTGGGACAAGGACCACAGCTTTTGTTTGTTTGTACTGGAGTTATGGCACCAGTACAGAACTTGCAAAATATGTTAACAATAATATACAGGTACCCAAACATATGCTCCCAGCAATGCCCTTTGTGTGTCTTTCAGAGAACTGACTACATGTATATTATCAAAATAGTTATTCAATAGATGGCTTATCTGGTTTGTTAAACCTTTGCAAACATTCCAGAATTTAACAGCACCATTAAGACTACATGTTACAATATTTTAGATGGCAAGTACCCGGAAGGCATACCGTAACCCAAAAATGTAGTCATGCAATTACATGTACATTTAAGACAAAATCATTCAAGTCTGACCCTTTGGAGTTAATATACATGGAAAAGGTTGTACTGCTTTGTTTTTGGAACTCATTTCAGGTATGGTACATTTATGGCCTTGAATGCCAGTGTGTAGATCAAAGCAACACTTTTGCAATGTCTCCAGTAATCCTTACTACGTGTGCTTGTATTTAAAACGATTCCAGCACAGGTTTACAACAACTATGAAAAATGCATTTCTGTCCATTCTTCCTACTGTGTAGGTAACCCAAAACTGTCAGTTTTCACGTCTTAAAGTACATGTACTTGCAGTGCTTGGAGAGTGGACAGTGTGGTTTGATGTTTAACTTTAAGAACAACGTTTTGCAAGGCTGGCTTTGCTATTTACGTATCACAACAATTTTGTGGTGTGAGCTCACACAAACATACAATAAACATACACATAAAATGTACATGTACGGTATATTGCTTGCGAGACATTTCACAGATCAAAATGTAAATTCCAGATGCTCACCAAAATCAAAGTTCCATTTCTTTAAAATTGAATTGTTTTGAACTTGGAGAGGTGTATTATTATCTGTTCCAA